GGTATCGCTGGTGATGGGAGGTCTGGGGAAGTTTTGGCTACGTCTCATGGTGGAAAAAAAAAATACCCCATAAATCACAGCGCATGTGTTTCCTCCGTGAATAGATGAGACCAGGCAATCGCACTAGTCTGCTTGAGGGGCTCGGCAGATCTCTGGGTCTCACAGGAACCAGCAACCCAAGGGTGACAAGGTGGTACCTAAATGTTGTCCCCACACCCCACCCGGGAAATCTATTGACCCTGAACGTGATGACAATTCATGTCTGCTGGGATAATAGCTCCAATGAGGCCTATAACACAAAAATGAGAAAATGAGCCTATCCGGGGAATTCTGTGTCTGTGGATCCTATTTCCAATGCACAGAGAGTCACATGCCACCTTGCAGGGGGTCATGGGAACACAATCGCGGGACATTACGATTGTAATGCGACACCCGGGCTCGCTGCACAAGGGTGCACCCGAAGAAGCCCAGTGGTGAGGTTGTTTAAAAGAAATCCCCATCCTGAGCCTCTTCAACACCGAAGGACCCCTGTCCAACTCTCCTCTGAGGGTCCTTCCTACATTTCTCAGCCACTTCCTGTATCAAACCATCAGACTCTGAAATCTGGCCTTCAGGATTTTGCTCCCACTATCCCTTTTCCTTTCCCCCTGAATTCTTTAATTGATGTATTTTGTTACCAGGGATGGCACCCAGGGGTGCTTTACCACCGAACCACGTCCCCAGCCCTTTTTTATTTTTATTTTTTTAATTTTGAGACAGGGGGTCTTGCTCAGCTGCTTAGGGCCTTGACCGTGCGATCCTCCTGCCTCAGACTCCAAAGCCCCTGGCAGTACAGGCATGCACCTCTATGGCTACCCAGTCTTGATTCTGTGAGTCTCTTCTACAAATCTTCCTCCTCTGATCTACTTCTGGCTTGTGATTTTCTTCCACGAAAGATCAGAAAAAACAGGAGTCCCTGAGACTCTCTTTGGGTGGGTGGATAAGAATGGGGGGAGGCCATAGGGTGGGTTCTGAATCTAATTTCCCAGCCATCAAGCCCCATGTAGGAGGTTTCAGCTGCCTCTAGTCCTCATTCAGGAGGGGAGCAGAATCCCTTTGGTCTACAAGGAGGGTCTTCCTGTTCCTTCAACGCTCAGAACCTCTGTGGCCATGTCTTTGGTTACAGAAAAGAGCTTTTTTTTTTTTTTTGAGACTTAAAAATTGAGAGACTCTAGCCCAGAGCCAAGATATAATGATACCCCGTGGCAATCCAAAGGCAGTGGGCCCCGAAGGCAGCACCTCTCCTGTTCTTACCAGAGCTTCCATCTCCTCAGACAGCTCTCTTTCCTACAGAAAAATTCATAAAAGCTTTTTTATTACATAATTATACTTCTGTGCTGGGTAGTTATGTGAGGCAACTACTTGCAATTAGCATGTTTAATTAGGAAATTAGGTGTTATAATCACAATGTACAGCAAAAAAATGTGTCATGAGGTTTTAGCTCGTAAACAAATGGCTTTCTAAATTTTCTTTTAAGGAGTTGGGGGGGGAGGAAACCCACAAAATTAATGTCGACTTCCTGTTTGGGTGAGGAGTGAGATTTAATTTGCTTATTGGTAACAGGTAGGCTCCATCTGTCCGATGGAGCGTGTCTTCCACCTTGACTGGAATTAGTCACTGTGGTAGGTAGCTGTCCCCGTGGTCACTCCTGGACTATGTGGGGCTACCTGGACACAGGTGTCTAGAGTACGGATGCTCAAAAGGTCCAGTTCTTTCCATTCAGCCTACGTTTACTGCATTCTATGGAGACAGGGGCAAAGGACAGGTAGCTGCTTATTAAAGAAAAGGAAATGGGTAGATAGCCCTCCCCATCAACTGACTGCTAGGACCTCTAGGGAGAACCCATCCTGACCTGTATCACTACTGTGTGGCAGGCACTTCAAGGTGCTAGAGATGAGCTAATCAGCAAAGACAGAAAAGCAACTTCTAGAAACACTGGCGGCTGGCAGATGGATACGCTGCAGAAGAGGACCCCATAACCCCTCTCACAGGGTAGCCCAGCAACCAGAAGGGGGCAAGGCTCATCAGTGGGCACTGACAGGGATTAGGAACTGCGTATTTCAAAAACCTCAACCAATTCTGAGGGTTTTTCACACAAAGAAATGGCAAGTGTTGGAAGCAACAGAGATGCTTCACCTAACTTCAACATCAGACGGTGTACACGGGACTGAACATCCCAGGGTACTCCGGGAAGACATGTGATTTTCATGTTTTATGTATCGGTTACAAATAAGTTCAAGGGCTGGGGTTGTGGCTCAAGCGGTAATGCGCTCTCCTGGCATGCACGGGGCGCTGGGTTCGATCCTCAGCACCACATAAAAATAAAAATAAAGATGTTGTGTCCATTGAAAACTAAAAAATAAATATTAAAAAATTCTCTCTCTCTTTAAAAAATGAATTCGAAATTTCTTCATTTTTTATTATATATAATAACCTATCAACCAACCAAGACAACTGAGGTGCAGAATTTGCTCAGACACACATAATTCTCAACAGAGTTTAAAAATACCCCCAGAGACTCTAATTGGTTGACTTATGGGTCTTGCTTCATTCTCTCTGAGGACAAGTGATGGGTTTGCCTATCTTGTGACACATGAGATATGAAATTATCAGTAAAATTCCATATATTCATTTACCACAAAACACAGTTAATAAGGGAGATGAGGACCCAACTCCTACCTTCAAGGTAACAGGGAAGACAAGGAACACAGGAATGCCAGAGGTGGCCAGTCAATCAAAGATATTTGCTCCCTTTCCACAGAGCAGCACTGATGCTTAGAAGCTGGTTGAACACTCCCCAAACCTCCTTAGGGGTAAGCAGAGGTACAGGATCCATCTTGGCCAAGGAAAAGTGAAGGCTACGCAGCGTGTTTCTTGCAAGCTGACCCAGGTGAGAAATAGGTCTTGTCTCCCTCAATGGCCTCGGAAGCACGTTTTGAAAATGCAGACCCACAAGATGGAAGGATCTTGCTCATCAGATGCTTGATATGTTGCAGAAGCTAAGGTTGACACAGAAGGCAAGTTCAAAAGCAAATGCTAAGCGTTGGGATGGCGTTAACGCAATGGGAGAACGGAAGAGGAGGGTGGAGGAAGCTTCAGGAATCAGCTCGAGTGGGATAAGGAGTGAGCGATATCTCAGTGATGAGTGGATACCAAAGACAAGGGGTCACAGGAGTGTCAGAAGACGAGTGGCAGAAGCTGAGAGAGGGTGGGGATGGGACGACAGAGGTCCCACTTGGCTGGAGTCAAGAAGGCAGTAGGGTTGGATGCCAGAGAAATACACAAGGGCTAGATCTTGCAGGAGTTTGGACTTGACCTTGCTGGCAAGAGTAATGGATTGTAAGAAGGCAATGACGTGGCAGGATGTGAGTTTCTGATAGACAACTCCGGTTGCTCTGCAGAGGATGAAGAGGACGAGGTTGGAGAAAGGGTGACCGATGCCAAGGCCATACTTTAAGAAAGGGGTGATAAGAATAGGGACAGCCTGCAGGATTCGGTGATGACAAGGGAGGAGAGGGATATATGGAGCTAGAATCAGAGATGAATGCTGGTACGAGACCAGAGAGGACAGAGAACTTGGGGTCCATGACAGCTGCACCAATCTTGGCTTATCTCTTGGTTTGGCTCATGGATTTCATCTCTGCAAGATTTAGTTTGACCCATAAAATGGGGAGACCAACCCAGTTTGCAGGATTTGTGTGTGTGTGTGTGTGTGTGTGTGTGTGTGAGGATTAAGTGAAACTCTGATGTGAAAAGATCCTATAATTCTGCAGCACTTTGCAAATGGGACGTTCTCCACTGGAGATGGAGTCCACACAGCTATTGTCCAAGTTCTTCACCCTCCAAAATTTGTGCATCAGACTGTCCCTAGGACTCCGTGGAGTGGAGTTTTAGAGGGTCCACCAGGAAGGAACCTGTCCATTCTGGCAGACGAACTTCACAAGTTATTGTCTCCCCCGCCCATGAACCTACCATTTCCTTCCAAATGAATTGTAGGGGCTTCAGGGATCTTGTTTGGATGTGAAGTGTCCCCCACCCACCAAATATCCTGTTAATTAATACAAGAAAGGCAGAGGTAAAATGATTGGACTATGAAAGGTGTCACCTGAACCGTCCATCCTAATGGGAAGGGACTCACGGGGTGGTGACTGTAGACAGGTAGAGCATGGTTGGAAGAGGTGGGTCACTGGGGGTGTTCCCTGGAAGGGTGCATCTGTACTGCAGGTCTGACTGTCTGTCTTTCTCTCTCTTTCCTTGCTGCCCTGAGAGGAGCAACTTTTCTCTTCTGAACACTTCCACCATGATATTCCACCATGATATTCCGCCTCACCTTGGACCCAGAGTAATGGAGTTGGCCACCTATTAATTAACTGAGACCTCTGAAACTATGAACCTCGAATAAACTTTACCTCCTTTATGTTGTTCCTGTCAGGCATTTTGATCACAGTTACTCAGAAGCTCACTAAAACACTCAAGTTCCCTTGCTAGACTGCATCTGGGGACATCAGGTACCTGGATAGGTTGGAGGTCACCCTTCCCTCTAGAACAGCCCCTGAAACCCTGTATTTGTGGTTTTCACCACTATTTAAGTTGTATCTGCTTTTTTGGTGAGAAGTTCTCTACACAGAAATAAGGGTTCTTGTCTCCTTGTCTCTCCCCTAAGCACTAAGGTCCGTGGGTAGGTGCACAATCCACAATGCCCTTTCATTTGACCAATGAATTTGGAGAAGGTCTCTCTGTGAGCAGAGTAAGACACTCTTCTCTCAAAACCCACTTACCACTCGGCTGTATCACACCATCCATCTCAGTGTGGTTGTTTTCCTTGATTCTCGATACCAGCTGGGCTCAGGACTCTATTTTATGGTTTGCCATCAAGACACTGAGTTCATTGAAACAAATAAATAAATAAATAAAAACAGAACCACCTCTGCATTTCACAATTAAGATTCATCGACACTTACCATTTTGTGGCAAGTGGATCTTGGAGATAATTCAAAGAGCTTCTCTCTTCAATCAGATTGACAGCATCTTGGGGGGTCGACAGAAACCGTGATTCGAGCAATTTTTCTTTTACATGCTTTCTGAGGCTTGGCTAGCCAACTAGGCAGGTGGCATGCAGGTGGCATATTGTAGGAGTTTACAGTCGAATGAATCTTTGATTGAAGTACGTGGGTCAAAAATTAAGAGAGAAGGAGGGGGGAGAGAGAGAGAGAGAGAGAGGGAGAGAGAGGGAGATGTTCATACAACACAACAGCTGGTATTACCAACTGCATAAAACAACAATTTGAAATAAGTAAAGACGTATCATTAGTGCTTTTGGAACAATAAACCCCTCATTTGATTGCACCGTTTTAAATATTTGATGGAGTCTATTGTGATACCTAATTTAGTTGTTTCTCCACAGCAGCCTGGATGATGTTTCCCACTTGCGTTTGCGGTTCATCAAATTTCTGCCATTCTTTGTGATGAAAAATGACTGCAGAAGGGAAAGAGAGGAGGGAGGGGGAAGCCCGGTGGAACCCTCAAAGAGCAAGGCAGACTCATTCAAGATGGCGGCTCCAGGCAGACATATTGGAATCCAGGCTCCTCAGCCTTCTCCAAGGGAGGTCTGAGAACAGAGTTTTAAAGCATCTACATAGAACCATTGTGCAATGGCCTACGGTTTTGTTTTCTTGGTATGTATTCCCATTTTCTTTTTGGTAATAGCACTTCCCAAACAATCAGATTCTGCCCGTAGACTTCACCGAACTTGTTTGCAGAGACATCTTGCCCTTGGTTTTGGCTCACAGGATAGGCACACATGGACTCTATCCGTGCCCATCTTTCTCCTGATGGGGAATGAACCTCCCTGGGTGAGAAGAAAAGAAAAGCAGGGCCCAGACTTGGAGAGAGTGTCACAGGGCATTAATATTCAGAGTCTCCGGAGCCAGAAACAAAATCCACCCTGGGACTCTGGGTATTTATACAAATACATCCCCTTCTTCCATTTTTTTCCATGCAGTGGCTTTGACATGGGTTTATGTCACCTGACATAAAGAGTTCTGATGACCACACTGACTTTAAAAATGTGACTTTCCATGAAGGAATCAACTAAAAAATGTTTACAGCTCATTCTATCTTGACCCACGTCTAGGCACTCCCGATGCTAGATTTCTGCAGCTAATATCTATAAAATGATTACTTGTAGGACTTTTATAAAATGATAGAAAAACATCATATTCGGATAAAATCAGCCAAGGGACCGTGTGTGTGTGTGTGTGTGTGTGTAAGGAAATTATATTTAAATGTTAAAGCAAGGATGTCACCATCCATCGCTGCCATTACAGATCCCCTTGGATATAGTAATATCCTCTTGGACCAAGGAAGAGTCGTCTTGAAAAGTGAAAGGTTGTCACAGAGAAAAATCATCCCTTCAAAACTCATCTTTTGTCCTCCATTTCAAGTCTCCATTTCCTATCGCTCTTGTCTTTCAAAACACAGCAGTGCCTTGCAATACTCTTCAGGTGCTTTATAATAATTCAAATACAATTACAATTCACGGGTGTCTAGATATTTCCAGAGTTGGGCCACCATCATTTCAGCTTTAGAGAATTTTCCTCACTCAGAAAAAGAAACTACAACCCTGTGTTGTCATTTTCTGATACCGTCTGCCCTCGGCCCCCGGTAATAGCTAATCCACTCTCTGTCTCTGTGGACCTCCCTATTCTGAAATTTCATATCAGTGGAATCATATAGTACAGGATCTCTCCCTCAGCACCATCTGTTCAAGCTTCATCCTCTTAGGTATGAGGATCTCAGTTGTTTTCATGGCAGAATAATATTGTATCAGATGAACCCACCCCATTGTCCATGGGTCACCCATTCATTAGCTGATGGACATCTGGATTGTGTCCATTTTTTTTCATGAACACCTCTGCGATGAATGTCCATGTATAATGTAGGTATGGACTTATATTTTCAAAACTCATGGGTGTACACCTAGGAATGCAAAGGCTGGGCCATACGTTGTTATGGTTTGGAGGTGAGGTGACCCCCAGAAGCTCACGTGTAAGACAATGCAAGAAGGTTCAGAGGAGAAATGACTGGGTTATAAGAATCTTAACCCAATCAGTGAATTAATCCCCTGATAGGGATTAACTGAGTGGTCACTGAAGTATTAGGGTTTGGCTGGAGAAGGTGGTCTGGGGGTATATATATTTGTTATCTGGACAGTGGAGTCTCTCTCTGCTCCCTGATCCCCACGTGAGCTGCTTCCCTCTGCCACACTCTTCCGCCATGATGTCCTGCCTCACCTCGAGCCCTGAGGAATGGAGCCTGCTGCTGTCCATGGATGGAGACCTCTGAAACCATGTTCCCCCAAATAAACCGTTCCTCCTAAAACTGTTCTGGTCAGTTCCTTTAGACACAGTGGGGAAAAAAAAAGCTGATTAAAATATATGCTAATGCCATTTTATCTTTTCTAGGGGTCGCCATATTGTTTTCCAAGGTGGTTGCACCTGTTTGCTCTTCCACGTGAGGTTTATGAGTCTTCCAATCTTCCCCTGTTCTCCTCAGTATTTGTCATGTGCCACATTGATTATTGCTGTCCCAGTGGGTCTGAAGGGGTAGGTCACTGTGGTTTTGATCTGCATGGAAGGATGGCTAATGAGGTGGTGCATCTTCACGGGCCCTTGGTGGCCATTTGTACCATTTCTTTGGCGAAATGTCCACCCAGACCACTTGCCTATTTTTTTAAATTAGAATTTGTCACTTTAGTAGCAGTAGGCAGGCTCCATTGGTGAATAAACGTGGCCTCGGGTTTTGGAATGATTTCCTCGGCAAAAGCGAGGCCCTAAGCAACTCAGGGAGACCCTGTCTCTAAATAAAATACAAAATAGGGCTGGGGAGGTGGCTCAGCAGTAGAGTGCCCCTGAGTTCAATCCCCAGTACCTCTACCCCCCGCCCCATGCCCACTGCAAAATAAAAGACTAAATGATCTAGAAAGTTCAGAAAACACAGGAGTCTAGCAAACCAGCTGAAGTGATTAGTTAGCAGGTCACTGGAAGCAGTCACAAGCATATTCTTAGAAGAGGCGGCCTCCCTCATGTGGCCAGTAGCTAAACTGATTTGGAGGCCGTGACTTGGGTCATAATTACATGATTTTTCTCTGGTAAGGAAGAAGGTGGTAAATGGCTAGTGTTAAGAATCCATGGAGCTGGGTCCAGCCTGGGTCCTGCTATCCCTCTAGGCTGCCAGACAAGGAGTTTATGCTCAGGAAGATTAATTCTCAGAATGAGAAATGTGGGAAGCGCTTGGTAGTCCGTGGGCCAACACTCAATTCCACTGGGGGATTTAAAAATAAAACCAAATCGGGGCCTGCATCGAAACACCTGGCCCAGCCTTTGACTTGCACCTTCTTGTCTTTATCATAAGTTAGGTCCTGGGTAAAAACCGGGGTGCAGCGTGCAATCGTAGAAAGCAAGTGCGTAATCGTAGAAACGTGGAGGTGATTCTAGCCTTGGTAGAACATCATGAAATCTCAGTGCATTTGATCCTAGGAATGTTTTAGACAGAAAAATGTGGCTCTATTCTGTGTCACCATATAAGACCATAACCACAAACACACACATCCATAAGAAAAAAAAAAAAAAACCCACGTGCTGTTGAATTAAGGACAGACTGTGTGCATTGACTTCTGCTGGCTGTCTGTTCATTTAGTTTGTTTATCTGCACTGCTCTTACCAGCAGACAAGCAGTAGCAGGTGCAGGAAAAAAAAAAACTCAAAAAATTTTGGCAAAGAAAACCTTGATATTCTGAAAATTTTACCCATTAAGTTCTATTTTCCGGAAATCGCAAAACCCCAGCAATTATTCCAATTTGGTGATGGAACATTTGTTTTGCAGAGGTTGAAGAATCCGTAAACTGTGTTCTAAAATTTCATAATACGAGTTGTCCTGTACCCACCGAGGCCGTGGCTCGTCTATTAATAAACACCATATTAAGGAAAAAAACTATCATCTCCTCGGCACTGGACTGACTGACGGAGGACAGGTACCCAGAGGCTAGAGCTTAGCTGTTTGCATTTTCTATTTCCTGTTACCCGATGGAAATGGATTTTTCAACTCTTTTGCCCTTTCTCATATTAACTTTGCAAAATTTTTTTTTGTGCCACATACAAAATAGCATCCGTCCAGAGAAGAGATGAGAACCAAGAAACGTGAGCAGAATCTCTCTTCCTCCACCTGGGTCTGAGAGCTTCTCTTCCTCAACACGGGTTTTCTTGGGGTTTACTGACCAAGGGGTTTACTGACCACAGGGTCAGTACCTACTGTACCTCTAGCATCTACACTGGGGCCTAACCCATAATAGATTTGGAAAAAAAACATCCGTTCATCAAGCCTGAAGTTATATTTGGGACCATGTCTTTTGGACTAAGACATACCGGGATTGGATCTCTGTTTATTACCTTTGTCAAGGAATGCAATGCCTCAGATTTTTTTTATACATCTGCTAAACGATACAACAATATTTACCTTTATAGCATTACCTGGAGAATTAAGTTACTCTAAGGAAAGAATTAACACAGTGCCTTGTGCATAGGACTTAATAAATGCCAATGACTCTTGCTACAGACTGCAAATGAGATTCTTGTAATTATCTATGCTTACTAAATGGCATAATAATAAGGCAGTGTGAATTTATTTTACACTCAAATAACTGTGACAATACCGGGTTTCATGTTTTTTTGGGGGAAAAAGAAAAACCATGCACATTTGCTTATTAACACATTTTAGCAATTAGCAGTCCACACAGGGGGAAACAATTTCTTATATCTAATTTAATTCTATACACTTAACAGTTAACCACAAAGAACTTTGCCAGAGAAGCTCTCAACTTATTGGTTTACAGAGGGAGGCTAAAGCTCAGGAAATGCACTATTTTAATGGAAATCATTTTTGGCCCTCCGCGATTGAGTCTGGCTTTGCTAATTAACACCACTAGATTCTCGATGATTACCATTTAAGCAAAACAGATGGGCCCTGAGTTTGATAGCCAATTTTCTAAGTTGATTTGCCTATAAGAAGAGCTACTGTGAACTATTTCTACATGGGAACCGTTATTTACCATTTGCATAGCAAAGTAAATAATCAACAAAAAAAGCGTATGAAACCT